AAGGATTTAAGAAGAATGGAATCGGTTCAACCCTCCCCCACACCACCATATGACCCCCAACCGGGGATCGGTTCATCCGTTACCCCCACCCCCCACCTCCCAGGCCCAGGGAGGCTCTGGCAGCCTTTGTGGGCGCGTAGCCGCCCACCGCCGAGCCCGAGCCTCTCCGCACCCTGTACGTAGAAGGGGCAAGTAGGGTGGGGTGCATGTACAGATTTGAGGATGCAATATTCAAGCAAGGCAGGACGGTGGACCCGCTGGGATCCTCGGTTCTCCACCGAGCTGGAAGGGGGGCGAGGGAGGGGCGACCCCGCATCTGGTCCTGCGTCTCGAATACCCCCCCCCACCCCCATACCAACCTGGTCGTAGATGTTCTGCAGGGCTTCCTTGCCCGAGGCCCGCCGGATCTCCACCTTCCGGCTCGATTCAACAGATGGCTCCCCGCCGGCGCGCCGGCCCTGCCGGGAGTACGGCGGCTGAGGGTCCGGGCCCAAGTGGGCGACATCCCGCTGCTGAGCCACCACCTGCCCCGAGCCCCGGCCCACAGACAACGAGTCGAAGTCGATGGTCTTGTTCTCGGAGGACCCTTCCACCGGGCAGAACATGCCACAGAATTTCTGCCGGGGCTTGGGGCTGCCTGAGCCCAGGTTTTTAAAAAAGGCAGGGACTTCTTCGTCCTCTGCCGGCTTCCCGGATTGCTTCCTCTCGGCCATGGCGCGGGAGCTCGGGGAGGGTCCTCTCCGTCCGTCCGTCTGCCGGTCCCTAAATCGGTCTCTCAGTGCACAAACCCCCTGGTTGCTGCCGAGGCTGCCGCTCTCTGCCTACCGCAAGGTGTACAGAAAGGAAGGAGGGCTGGCGAGCAAGCGACCCACCCCTCGCGGTCCCTCCCTCTGACCCCGCTTTTTCCCCTCCCTGCCCACGCCCCCCGCCGCCGCGCCAGCTCCCGCGAGCAGCAAAGTTGGGTCTGGAAGGGCGGCCGCTGCGGCAGCGGGAGCAGAGAGGCTGCCAGTTCCTGGCAGCGGCGGGAGGAGGGAGGCGCGGGCGGGGCGGGGGCGGGGCGCGGCGCAGGGGAGGGGAGCCGGGCGCAGGGGAGGGAGGGGAGGCCCGGGCCGCCAAGAGCCCAGCGCTCCGGAAGTGAAGCGGCCAGACCACCCGCTAATGGATGCGGAGCACAGTGCCTGCTGACCGCTCTCCGCGCCAGGGTAAGTATGGGGCAGGGCACGTAGGGGCGAGGACCGGAGGGCGCAGCCCCTGGCCTCTGCGCCCCTCTCCTCCACCTTCCTGGCCCAGGAGCCTCTCCCCCACCGCATTGCAGAGGTGGGCCAGGAGAGCGGGTTCTCTCCCCCTTACCCAGGGTGTGAGCTGATGGATGGGGAAAGAGGGACGAACCGACTGACGCCTGGACACCCGGAGGAGGAAGGGGCAGACCATGGAGAAGTGGGGGCCTTACGAGGCATGGGATACCAAACCTTGTTACGCAAGGGCCTTGGTAGGCTACGCAGAGATTGAAACGAAAAGGTTCTCACTCACTGCACCCACAGTGGTAGGGGGCGCCTCGCATGGCGGGGAGAAATGCAGAGGGGCGTAGCAAAGGCGGGGGAGAAGTGTGGATAAAGACATAGGTCTACGCGCCGTGGGAGTGTAGCAAAAAGTGCAGTCTGCAAATTCTGGCGCCGAACGGCAACTTGTAGTAAGAGTGGGTAGAGACCTGTTCTATTGCCCGAAGGCGTCGTGTGCCGTAACTGCGCCACTGCACCCGTAAGAAGGGCCCAGGAGAATGTCTTGATTTGGTATCTTCCGCCCCTCCGTCCTTGCCAAAACAGAGGGTAAGACGCAGATTGAAGCCCACTCCCCAAGTCCCCAGCCCTTCTCCGCACCCAGAGTGCCCCGCCTTAATCCCCCGCCCCCGTTGCGCACTGCGCCAGAGCCGCGGGGTTTCCCAGGTTGCCAGATGCCAAGTGCCTGGGATGTAAAGTGCGTGCGCGCGAGTCCAGTGGTGGGGTAGGGGACGGGGTGCACTCTGTGACTGTGCCTTGAATTATGCGAGGCCACGCCGGGGAAAGGTGTGTGGGACTTGGTGTGTATGTGCGGCTCTACCAGCTACAGCTACTGGGTTGGTGGGCAGATAACGAGCATTTTGATTTGTGCCGGTAACGCGGTCTCTGAGAGTCCTTCATTGCTTATTCCTGTCCCCATGTCTTTTCCATGGATCAGTCCCTGCCTCTGGGCGATTACAGCCCCGCCCCTCCTTCCATAGTGGCAAAATCCTGCAGGAATGATGCCCATCCTTTGGCGGCTGGGGAGGGAGATCTGGGCATGCTCAGTAACCAGGGTGGGTTTGGGCTTGGACAAGCTGCATACCGCAAGACCGTCGCGCAGCACAGTGTGACCAAGGATCCATTCCCATTGTCAGCCCTTGCTCCTGGAAGGATTAAGTTCGGAGACCCTCCTCCCCCCACTCCCATCTTGAGGGACAGTTTGGGGAATGGAGTTAAATTTGGAGGACAACCAGTCACAGTTTGAAGACGAGCCCACCATGACAGGTGGGAAAGAGGACCCCGCTGAGAACTGCGAGAGGAGAGGGGAGGGCCTGGGAGGCCCGGAGAACCGGAGGCACGCACTGGGACTTTGAACCAGATGTGCTTCGCATTTGAATAAAGTGCTTCCACACGAATTACATCATTTCATACCCAGAGCGAGCCCGTGAGATGAGTGCTTTTATCATCACCCATTTCCAGAGCAGGAAACTGAGATTTAGAGAGATTGAGGTGCTTTGGCCAAGGTCACTCACTATCTGGCTAAATGATCCAACACTTACAGCTGAAAATCTGATTCCTTTTCCAACTTCTCCCATCTTTACATGAGAAAATACGAGATTTTTACTTTTTTTTTTTTTTTCATTTCCAAATATTTCCATTGCAGGTAGAGATCGCCTTTGGAAGAAGCAGCCAGCCAAAGGTAGCCTAAGCTCCGCATGGCCATTATTATGTAGACCTTGGAGATGTTTCTTCCTGGGCATTCAGTGCCTTTTTACATCTCCTGTTCCCTCTAAATATTACGAGAAGAAGGTTACCCCCTTATCTTAGGAGGGAAAGTGTGGCATGGAGATGCCACTGGGCTCAGGTCCCTAGGGCTGCTGGCTGAAGGTCGGATCCGACATTTTGCCCTCCTGGCCCTCTAGCACATGCCAGGCCTTCTGCACCTTCCAGAAGGACTTGGAAAATGTGCCTGCAGTGACAGCAGGTGCCACCGTAGCTACGGGCTGACATCTGTGGCATATGGACCCCATTTGAACCGATGGGGATGTCCTAGGCCTACCGAAGAATATTCGAGCCCCTTAACACACAACCCCATGACCAACTGGGAGATGGTAGAAACTCTTCCCTTTCTACATCCCCCAGTCTCCACCACTCTCCACAGATGTGCTTCTTGTTTTTCTTTTTTCCTCCAATGACCCATTCAAGCTTAAGTATTATGAAGCATTTTTAACATTCATAGCAAAAGAAACACCTAGTTGTGCATTTGCAAAGCCTGCCCGCACATAACAAAAGAGAATTCATAATCCCAAATTTAACTAACTTGGTTCTGAGATTTCTTTTTTTAATTGTTAAACCTAGGGGCGCCTGGGTGGCTCAGTTGCCTAAGTGTCTGCCTTCAGCTCAGGTCATGATCCCAGGGTCCTGGGATCGAGCCCCTGCTCAGTGGGGAGTCTGCTTCTCCCTCTCCCTCTGCCCCTGCTTGTGCTCTCTCTCTCTCTCTCTCACTTGCTCTTTCTCTTAAATAAATAAATTAAATCTTTAAAAAATATTGTTAAACCTATACTAAATTGTTATGCCTATAGTATAGTATATAAGTTAAATTATTATACCTATATTAAATTGGTTTTAAATGTTTGAGTGATTTCTAATTGTATTTTCTAATCAAAGAAATGCAGCAACTCCATTTGTTTAGTAGATTTAATTATAAAGGATTGTCATTTTTTAAAATAAGTGCATTAATAGTCATCATTGGCTATCATCAAAGCCATAAATATATATTATTGTTATTTATGTGTAACAGGGCAGCTTGGCTTGGCTGGAGCTAAGACAGACCCAGACACACCGTTGTGTGGAGTTGGGTGACATCTTCCTTTTCTAGAAGCTGACTAAATAAGCTCGTGACTCTCACGGAACAACTGGAACACATACACAGGTATCTAGCCACATCTGATTTCGTTCTTCACGTGGGGAAAATCTCGAGTCCTGTCCTCAACTGGGGCTCAGACATTAATTGGCATGCCTGATGAGCAAATGGTGGGGAAGCCAGGTTGCAGGAGGGTCCCCAAAAGAAAAAAAAGTCAGTCCAAGCAAAAAAGAGGTCTGACAGAGTGGGGCAGATGTAAATCCAATGTGAGACAGAACCCCTGGCCTACCCCCAACTTGCGTCATGAACCAAAGCACGATGCTCCCCGGGAAGGAGAAGGCTGTGTGGTAAAACTGACCATTGTTTCACTAGGAGTCCAAGTCACCCTGCTGGGACACATCTTTCTGGGAGCTCGGGATGCAGGGGTGCAGAGTGGAGGCCTTTCCCCATGACTAGCGAGAGGAGAGGTGAGGCGAGGCGGCAAAGACTGGGAGAGTGGCAGAAACAGCTCTTACAGGTGCCTCGGGCACTCGCAGAAGGGTCAACAGCACCACGTGGCTGCTAGCATCTGGGAGAGGGCAACGGCAGACCCCGGACTGCAGAGCCACAGGGAATGGCACTGTCATAACCGAGATACCGACCAGCCACCTTGGGTCAGGTCTAGAGACATAACTGGAAGTGCTGAGTTCTTGCCACTGGGCAAGTAAGGGTTATGGGTCCAGAAGACCTTGGGACTGCTATGGGAGTGGCCTAGGACCCATTCGGGGGTGGAGTAGAAGTTCAGGAGCTCAGGCAGGGTATTCTGAGTCCTAAGGCAGCGTATCTGCACCACAAACTAATCGGCAGCCGTAGAGTTAGAGCGAGCAAATACTCAGAAGATGGCTCTGGCACTGTTGGAGGACTGGTGCAGGATCATGAGTGTGGATGAACAGAAATCACTGATGGTTATGGGGATACCAGTGCACTGTGATGAGGCTGAGATTCAGGAGGTTCTCCAGGACACTTTGAAGGCTCTGGGCAGGTATAGACTGCTTGGCAAAATATTCAGGAAGCAGGAGAATGCCAATGCGGTCTTATTAGAGCTCATGGAGGATATTGATGTCTCGGTGATACCCAGTGAGGTTCAGGGAAAGGGGCGGGGGGTCTGGAAAGTGATCTTTAAGACCCCTAACCAGGACACCGAATTTCTTGAACGACTGAACGTCTTTCTGGAAAAAGAGAGACAGACAGTCTCGGGGATGTTCCGAGCCCTCGGCCATGAGGGAGTGTCTCCGGCCCCCGTGCCCTGTGTTTCGCCAGAGTTATTGGCTCATTGGTTGGGGCAGGAGATAGCACAAGCCCCTCAGCCTCTGCTGCCCATGAGATACCAGAAACTGAGAGTGTTCTCAGGGAGTGCCGTGCCCGCCCCCGAGGAAGAGCCCTTTGAAACCTGGTTGGAACAAGCCACTGAGATCGTCAAAGAGTGGCCGGTAGCAGAGGCAGAAAAGAAACGGTGGTTGATGGAAAGCCTGCGCGGCCCCGCCCTGGACCTCATGCATATAGTGCAGGCGGACAACGCGGCCATCAGCGTGGAAGAGTGCTTGGAGGCATTTAAGCAAGTGTTTGGAAGCCTGGAGAGCCGCAGGACCTCCCAGGTGAAGTACCTGAAGACCTATCAGGAGGAGGGGGAGAAGGTCTCAGCCTATGTGTTGCAGTTAGAAACCCTGCTCCAGCGAGCCGTGGAGAAACGAGCCATCCCCAGGAATATCGCAGATCAGGTCCGCCTAGAACAGGTGATGGCGGGGGCCAGCCTTAGCGAGGTCCTGTGGTGCAGGCTGAGGGAGCTGAAGGATCAGGGCCCGCCTCCCAGCTTTCTTGAGCTAATGAAGGTAATCCGGGAGGAAGAGGAGGAAGAGGCCTCTTTTGAAAACGAGAATATTGAAGAGCCAGATGAAGGGGATGGCTATGGCCACTGGGATCACGAGGCAGATGACTAAAAACCAGCTCAGCGCAGGACCCATAGCCAGTGCACCTAGGGACATTCGCTTTATCCAGCTGAGACGGCATGGCTCTTTTTGTCGTTAAATGTACACAACTGAAATCGAGGCTTTGGGGCCAGGTTTGCTGCTTCTTTCTCAGAAAAAATTATCCGAGAGTTGCTTGGACCCTACATAGATGATGAACAAACACCGGATTAAATTCCAAATATGAGATAGGAAGCCTCAAGGAAGCTGAGGCACTTCAGGTCTCCCAAATAGACCAAAGTTTACCCCTACCATAAAAGAAAGAAATGATGTGAGGGAAAAAATATATATATCTTTTGTAATTTATTTAAAAATCTAAGCTCTTGGACTTGTCAGGTGATTTCCTTTCTCAAGTCAGCACCTTCTCTCTGAGTACCTAGCAGTGTGAGGCGCTGGTCAAAGAGGTAAGGATCCTAAACCTAGGAGCATGGGCGGTGCTCTCAGGGAGCTTACCACCTCCTTGAAGATGTGACCTCGGCATGGGAGAAGCAAATAACTTCATGTGTAAATAAGTCACAACACCCGTAGAAGCGCCATTGCCAAATGAATACAACCACCTCCGCTATGATGTTTCTTTCTTTACTTGGGATGCACTCCTCCACTTTTCCGCTAGGTGTCAGATGGTCAGTTCCAGGCACTGGGTCAGAGCCTCAAGACATAGATGACTCAGCCTAATCGCTGCTTTCAAGAGATTTACAGTATGCCAGACACCCTTGAGAAAGAGTGGACCTTATGGGAAGACATGCTAGAGAAGGAGGATTGGATTTAGCGAGCAGACCATTTTGGTCAGAGAAGATTTTTAGTGGCGACAAAGGGGACGAAGGAGAGGAAAGGAGCTCATGTTTACTGAGGGTCTATTATGTTCCAGGTGTTTTACACATATCTCATTTAATATACACAGCAACCCCAACAGGGTATCATGTTGCCCTTTTTGAAAGAGAAGATGAAGCTCAGATGAGCTAAGTGGTCTCCTCAGTATAGAAATGCTAACAAGTGGCAGAGTTGAGATAGAAGTCCGGAACTTTCCAACTCTTGCTAATCCTCCCGCCACTACAATCCTGATTTTTCAAGTTGTGCTCCACAGTTCTGCAGAGATTTTTCAGCAGTTCCATCTTTAAAATGTATTTTAAACTCCACATCTCTACTGAAAAACAGGTAGACTCAAGTGTGTCGATATTCAAATGTTCACACATTGGCATTCACCCTCAGGCTCACTTATGTTTCCAGATGGACTCGTTTTGTGCAGACCTCGGAAGTAACGTTCCCTTGTGATATCTGAGCACATATCTGGACTTAATTGTTCAAAGATTAAAGAAATTAATGGCATCTCACAGGTGTTAAATCATGTCCATGCATGCCCTGTGATGTAATGTGTGCTCGTGGAGCATAAATGAGCACCATTCGGTTAAATGCTAGTTGATATATAGCATCATGGTACCTTTTTGTAGACAGCAAACTTCTCATAAGTATGTTTCTCATAAGAAACATAAGTTTCCTCATTGGGAAAACGGGAACAGAATAGAATAGGGTTGTTGTTGGGCTCCAGTGACATAATGCCTTTGAATCCCTTAGCATGATGCCTGGAACATAGAAAGCCTTCAGTACTTAAGACTCATGATTTTCATGATACTTACTGAATGTTCAGTGCATGCTCTCTTTATTGTTCTAACAGTGGTGCGATAACAAGTAAATATATAATCTGTCAGTCAAGTTGGGACAACATTGCATCAGAAACCATTTTAGCTCTGGTCCATTTGAGTGCTTGCTATCTGTTATCTTTGTGATAAGTATGCCAGCAGCTGGACTGTTGTTAGTGATTGGACTCGGAAACGATAAATTATTCTTTCCAATTGTGGATAATTTTAACGGACGAATATCCTGAGATTGTAAGAAAAGCATTTTTTTAGAAGGTACCATTTGTGATCATTTCTATGTTATAATTTTTCAATACTGTTCAACCAAAATGTCCAGTACACCCTTTCATGGGTTTTTTTTTTTTTGTATTCATGAAAATGGCCTCATTGTTTTCAATTATTGACAGTATACAAAGTAAAATGTTATAAATGTGAAGTTATTAAATAAATACATGCTAATAAAATGCTGAGGTTTTTCATTTCATGTATTTTGATTCTGTATTAGCTATTGCTTGAAGGAGTTTCATTACAAAAAAAAGAAAAATTGATAGGTAAGGTTAGAAAATCAAACCAAAGCCAGAAGGTCTGAACTCTTCTAGATAGGAAAACCTGAGAGCAAAATGCTGGGATAAGAGTACTTGAGCTTGGTCTCCAGGGATGAAAGAAAGCGCAGTCACCCATCATCGATTTCCCTTTTAAAATACATAGAAACAACAGATGGAGGCCTGTTCCCTCAGAGACCTCCAACTCATTTTCTTGGGCAAGTTACTGTACAGATAAATTCACCACGTCTATTCTGCCAAGAGTGAAATGACCTAGAGGTAAAATATTGCATCTTTTGGATGAAGTCATTTTTTTATCTTGCAGATGTGTAGGAGGAAAGTTCCTCTTGCCATTGGCCTTCTCAAAATTGTTTCTCTTCCGCTGTTCTACAGTGCAGTGGGGGAGGAGTCCTCCCTGAGCTGTACACAATGCCGATCGGCCTATTACAAGATGAGTGTCCTGAGGGATGCCCAACACCCTCTCCCAATCACTTGAGCAAAAACCTCTTAAAAAATTGGCCTCACCTTACACTTACTATGTCTCCAGTCCTGACTCTTGGACACTGAGGCCTCCAAGATTACATAGCCCACTGCTGAAGACAACTTTTTTGTTTTTTTGTTTGTTTGTTTGTTTGTTTTTTACCAGGGTCATGAGTTTCTTCAGGCCTTAGAGTCATCTGACATCTCCACCTGCACCACCCAGTCTGCCAAGCCTTTCATCCTATTGTCATCCACTGTCCACCCCAAATGCAAGACTCTGATCATCAGTTCTCATCTTTACTCTCCTGTCCACACTGCACTGTTTCCTTCCAGTGTTGATCTTCAAGGTCGTCCAACATGCCTTCCTGGTACTCATGATGTCCTAGACAAACTAGCCTATATCATCAGAGTCCTTGCAAAATACCCTGGCACCATATTCCTTAATTGAACTCTGGTCCTCCAGGTAGCCTGCTGCCCTCAAGTCTCTTGAGTGGAAGCTGCTCAGTCTCCCATCTCAGGAAAGATTGGAGAGTGCTGGTGGCACTTCTTTTAATTCACCCTCATCACCTCCCCACTTGCAAACACGTTTCCTGGCATAAACTGACTCCCTCTGCCCCACAGTGAGCTGTGGGTCAGTCCTGGCAAGCCTAAACAGAGCATTGGCAAAGCAACCCAATGTGCAAAGAGCCTATTTAGGATGGCATCTGGCCAGATGTTATCTCTAGCAGCAAAAAGTAGGAAGAAAAAGATAACAAATGTAAGCCATATCTAAGGGAGTCCTACAAGTCAAGACTGGGAAAGCAAAGATGGTTGGAAGCTAGAGTTTTGAGGATTGGAGCCTGAAATGAAACATAGAATTGAAGTAAGAATCTGAGACAGTATTGTCAAATACACTCAGAGTGCATTTTTTGTTGATCACCAGCATAATCTTTGGGTGGTCTATAAAGACTCATGATCAGAGCAGACATCTCTCCCATCTTTCAGGGTAGGCTGGGAGCTCCTTGAGTTGCTCAGGGAAGACTTTTACTCACTGAGAAAGTCTCTTGGGGTGCAAGATGGTGTCCAGAGATGGGCTTCTCAGAAACGAGTTTCCCCGCTGTAGCAGGCTCTGGATTTGGCCCTGGTGCTGACCTGACTTTCTGCTGTGCCTGAGTGGTCCTTGACATCCCAGATGAACATTTTCTTAAAAACTAGAGTAACTCCAGAAGTGGATGCCAAAATCAATTCGATCATAAGAAAAAAAGGTGTAGGATTTCAATGTCTTTCAGGACACCAGCTGGAGCTGACCATTAATTGTGTGGGGTGCTTAAAGCAGCAGCTGAGGTTTTTTCCAATCCACCCACCCTTGAAGGGAAAGGTTACCAAAGGGAGGCATTACCCAGACTATGGGGTAGTGCTGAGGCTAGGAGTCTAGGCAGGAAGTCCCCAGAAAAGTCAGGGAAGGCTCACCTCCATCCCATCCTATCCCAGACCTGCCCCCACTCTGCACAGCCTGAAGGCCTTCCCAGTCTTCTTGGTACAACAGCTTTCCCAATTAACTCAGTTACTAACACTGCTTTCTTGAAGTAACAAGCAATTGTCACAAAAGTAAACTTCCTTTTTTCCAGCTTTATTTAAGGTATAATTGACAAGTAAAAATTGTGTATATTTAAGGAGTGCAATGTGATATTTTGATGTACTTATGAATTGTGAAATGATCCCCACCATCAAACTAATTACCTCACGTGGTTACCGTGTGTGCACGTGCACACGTGTGTGGTGAGAACACTAAAAATCTATTCTCTTAGCAAATTTCAGGTACACAGCATAGTATTATTAACTATAGTCATCATGCTGTACATTGGATCTCCAGAACTTAAGCAGCCTGTGTAAGTGAAAGTTTGTACCCTTTGGCCAACATGTTTCCATTTCTCTCACCTCCCAGCCCCTAGTAATGGCCATTCTACTCTCTGCCTCTATGAGTTCTATTTTTTTAAGATTCCACATATAAGTGAGATAATGCAGTATTTGTCTTTCTGTGTCTGGCTTATTTCATTTAGCATAATGTCCTCCAGGCTCACACATGGCAGGATTTCCTTCTACAAAAGTAAACTTTATATTGTAGGTGAACTTAAGAAAGGTGGTGGAAACCAGGTTGGGGAATAAGGGACATTGAGTTCTGCTAACTAGTGATCACATTGCATTCCCTGGTAAAATCCCATGCAAGAGATGGCAAGCCTCTGATGAATGACATTTGTTGAGCTTGGGAACCCTGCTATTCCAAAATAGTAGCTAGTGGACATTTTAAAGGTTCTCAATAGAAAGCTTCTACATGAGC